TATTCGCAATCTCTTCTATAGAACAACAAAACACCCACACTCACCGACTGAAAACTAGTTAATAGCGGATGAAAATGATCCCTCCCGGCAAAACGGTGATTCCAAGGCATGAGTGCATGACCGATATTTCGTGTCCTTCTCGTTCGTTGAATGAGACAAAAACGCCCATTTTTTGTGATGCAATGTATGATATTGGTTATTGTATGCATTTTTGGGTGGCATGTTAGATCCTACCTACTTTTAAGGAATTTGATATCTCTTTTCGGCCTGATTCTCCTTCTGTCTCCTTCTCTCCTTAGTCAATTCAATTATCCTCATTTTTTTAAGTATCAAACCTAAAAGTGGAAATAAAATTCAGCTAAGAGAGCCTTTTACGGTCCTATTGAACAACAGGCTCTGTAAAATTAAAGTTGCTAACTCCGTAGGAATGGATTGTGAACTGGGGTGCTGAGACTGCCGATGACCACTGAACCAAGTCTGTTTTAATCGATCAGGTGATATGTTAGATCTTGTTCAGCTTTATGACATACCAGAGCGCGAATAACTGACGCAGTTCTTTTTTTTTATCATAAGTTTCATCATCTAAGTTATTCGCAATCTCTTTTATAGAACAACAAAACACCCGCACTCACCGACTGAAAACTAATTAATAGCGGATGAGAAAGATCCCTCCCGGAAAAACGTTGATAGCAAGGCATGAGTGCATGACCGATATTTCGTGTCCTTCTCGTTCGTTGAATGAGACAAAAACGCCCATTTTTTGTGATGCAATGTATGATATTGGTTATTGTATGCATTTTTGGGTGGCATGTTAGATCCTACCTACTTTTAAGGAATTTGATATCTCTTTTCGGCCTGATTCCCCCCCTTTGTCTCCTTCTCTCCTCATCACCTAAGTTATTCGCAATCTCTTCTATAGAACAACAAAACACCCGCACTCACCGACTGAAAACTAATTAATAGCGGATGAGAAAGATCCCTCCCGGAAAAACGTTGATAGCAAGGCATGAGTGCATGACCGATATTTCGTGTCCTTCTCGTTCGTTGAATGAGACAAAAACGCCCATTTTTTGTCATGCAATGTATGATATTGGTTATTGTATGCATTTGTGGGTGGCATGTTAGATCCTACCGCGTACTAGATTTAGAAACTAATTTAATTGGCTTTGGAAACCACAAAGTCCTCATGCGTGTGGACTGCTCAACTATTGATTGGCTAAAAAGCTTGGTTGTTCACTATAAAGGTGAGCGCGCGCGCTTGAATAGGGCTGTGTTCGAGTGACTTTGCCACGTGCACACCCAACTTATCTGCTAAAAGAGGAAAGAAGAAAGTTACAGAAGAAAAGTCTATATTTTGAGTCTTCGGTGAGTACTTTTTAGGAATTAGATATCTCTTTTTCGGCCTGATTCTCCTTCTGCACGAAACCAGTCCAAATTTTCTTGCCCGATGTTTTGAAAAGTGTAGAGTACTACCATTTTTTCCCTGTGATGTGGAGCGTATGTGCGTAACTTGGAAAAAGTATACTTGGGTCACGGAGAATTGTGCATTTTATGATATGATGCACTTTGAATGTTAGGACGACAATTCAGACTAAAAAAAGAAAGATTTCCAATCCATAAGCTAAATCTCTCTAAAGTTTGCCTCACTGCCAATGTGTGGTTTCGTAGCTCAGTTGCTAACTGCGTCCAACTATTATCTGGGAGGCACGGGTTTGAATCCCGTCGAAGCCTGAACTCTTTCAGGTTCCTTTGCAGCAAAAATTACTCGTCACCTGCGAAAATCAGATGATGGCTTTTTTTTTTTATTTAAACTGTGTATATTAAATTTAGCCCATTCAATTATCCTCTGCTAATCGGTATCTGACAGGATTTCCCGGTAACAACCATACTCCCGATCTCTTCTAAATCTCCTTGACAGGAGTGTCGAAACGTTGGGTCTATGAATTATAACTTCTTCGGTTACATTCATTAAATCTGCAAACCAGAACAGCATCAAACTATGTCTCCTCTATGTCTTCGCAAAATCAAGGACAAAGGAAATCCAGATAGGAGAACCTTTTACGGCCTTATTGAACAAGATGCTTGATAAAATCAATGTTGCTAACTCCGTATGAGTGAGTTGTGAACTTGGGTGCTGAGCTAATGATGACCACCGAACTTTGACACTGAAGTTTGTTTTAATCGATCTGCACTGGGTTAGATTTTGTTCATCTTTATGACATAACATCACTGCCGGACGGAATATAAAATCAGGAGTACAATTTGCGAGTAAATCGTGTCACGTTACCCCCAGTGCAAGCAAGTTGAGTTTTAAAAGTTAAAAAGATGCAATTTGCTTTTGCGAAACACCCACTAATTGTGGCGAAGCACGTAATTCTCTCCAAGTAAGGGAAAAGACGAATAAATTACACGCTGGTAATTATCTGTGAAAACTTACCGATCCGTAATGACACGGGCATGTACTAAAACAGAGGATACAAGGTGGACGATAGACGGAAGACGACAGACGATCGACTCGGATGGTAGACGATGGTTGTGTGACGGAACATGATTACGAAATTCAAAGTTATCACGCAATCGCGTGAATGTCACATATATTTTTCTTTTTCAATATATTAAAACGGTTTAAGAAATAAGAGGAAGCCAAAATATTTGAAAATATACTTATTTGTAATGTTTAAATGTATTTTCGTGACATGAGGAGGTCACGTCGTCACCGCAGGGAGAAAATAGTCGATTTCGCAAAATAGAAACTTTTGCTTCACCACTACTTTGCGAAATGATCAAAAATCCTTCTTTCTAATCGACGATTACTCCAAAATCCTTGTGAAAGTTGTATTTACTTTAATAGAAAATACATCTGCATTATTCCTCTAATTTCATGATATCATGCCTAGTTTCGATTCGTTACGTTTCGTTTCACAAAATAGTACTAGCCCAGGCCCAGCCCAACTCCTGCCAGGCGTTGAGTGCAAGATGGACGATTTCCTCCGCAGTTCCCTCTATGTAAACAAAAACAGAGATGGGGATCCTTTAATATTTTCACTTTCCCGCGATCGTTGACAAATTTTTGTCTTCCTTCTTGTCCATATCAGAAGTAGTTTAAGCAAGTTTTTGTAAATAAGGTGGCCCAATGTAGCGTCAGCGTTGGCCCTTCTTCTTTCGCTCTGGCCGGTTTTGAAACTTTTCACGTTGGCTAATTTACATTACAAACTCAGCTGATAAAACCAAATTATCGAATTTAATTTTGTTTTTCGTGTATGTCATCTTTATTGCTTGTAAACCACTTTGTTCATGATTTGATATAAGTTGACCTTATTCATCCTTAAGTGCATTTTTAATCTTTAATTTTTCCAAATTTTAAGTTACAAGTATAACATTCATAGTAAAACTTACTTTAAAACTCCTGCAGAACTAGTGATGGCCAGTCAAACCGTTATGTGGATCATCATCTTCGCCGTGTGTGGAGTGACCCCAGTCATTTTGGCTCAGGATGCCTTCTATTGCCACAATCTGCAATACGCTGGCCCGATAAAAGAAGTAATAG